GTGGCATCATACAAGCGGTTGGCACCTCCGTCAGCACAGGCTCTTAAAAGAGCTTCAAACAGAAAAAAGAAAAGAATATTTTAATATAGGAAGCTTAGCAAAGATCAACATTAAAAAAACAGGCCCTCAGACACACACACAAAGCTGCGCTCCCCTCCCTGGATCATTTCACAGTCAGCCAGTGACACTACTGGTACTAAAAATGATCCTGCATGTCACACACACAAGACAGGATCACCCAGGACAAAGTGTAATTCCTTTTCCATCTTCTTCAACTACTCCTATTAAATAAAGGGGGGGATGGTATATGATGTCTTCAGTATCTCTCGAAGCTTGTTTTTCCTTCCTTCTAACAGAAAATAGGCCTCAGGCTTGATACCAGACAACAGGACGTAGCTTATAACTTTGTCCCCTTGTTTTATTAATTTTTTTATGGATACCTTCTATTTGCGGCAGGTATTATGGGTCTCCATAGTTTACCATGATATGCAAGATTTCTTTTAAAAACACATCATAAGCAGAACATTGTAAGTCTGTTTTAAAATATTAACTAATAATCCAGATAATGTGCGGCTGTAAATATTGAGAAGGTGGCACAAAACTGACTGAAACTTGGGAGATATGAAAGTAATCCAACAAGGCCGGCTGCCCCCCCAACTGGGGCTTTTTATCTCTCGCCTCCCTGTGTTTTTCCCTCACATCACTCTAGGGTTTCATGCTGCTGGTGAAATCATTCCTTAAAATTTTCATTCCACGGTCTACTATTTTCGTTGTGGTTACTTCTCTAATTTCTAATTTTCCTAGAAATGTTCAGTATCTTAGCATCAATTCATCCTTTGATACTTTTCTTTAAAAAAAATAGTCCTTTACCTAATAGTTTCAAATCAAACTTTTTTTGTTTTGTTTTGTTTTTTTTTTTTGTATTGTTGTTTTGCTGTGTTTTGTTTTTTAACCTGGGCGATGTTAAGAGTCAATGCTGAGGTGTCTGAGATTCTAAGTCCTCACCCTGAGGAGCTGCCTCTGCCCCTCCATAGCTGTTAAAACTGATCAGTAGGTCACAGAAATCAGCCAAGTCCTTGGACACCAACTGCTTCAGAAGAAACAAACAGTCGGCCTTCCACAGCTGAGGGTTTCCAATGTGATCCATGGTTTAACCTGCGGAAATGAAACCCACGGACACAGAGTGCTGACTGTGGTCACTTTTTTGCACCACTTCATATAAGTGACTTGAGCATCTGCGGATTTTGGTATCTCAGGGGCTCATGGAATCAATCTCCCACAGACACCAGGAGACAACGGTATTTTTTGAGCTACTTCTTCATCTTATTGCTGTTATGAAATCAACTCCCTTTTTTGCAAGTTTAGCTATACATTTAAGAGTGCTTATAATATCTACCTCCAAACTGCGAGGTGTTTAATAACAGGTGGGATATTGTAAAGGGCAGCTAACTGACCATACTGGCAGAAATAAAAGCCCCAGTGTATTTTCCACTAATCCATGATACACGTGAGACGCCTCTGTGTGCCCTATGTTAGAGCAGAAATAAAACAGAGGCCAACTGGAAAAAAAAAAAAAGATACTCCTTTCTCGCTTCAGCTTCTTCATCTGTAAATGGTAACAGTATCACCTATGGCACAGAATTATTAAGCAATCAATGACTTAGTAATTATACATGATGCTCGTCACAACACTGGAACATAGTCAGCATTCAACAAATGTCAGTCCTCTTCCTCCATGTCTGTCAGAGTGAAAATGAAGTCTAAAAAGCACTGTGTCCTTAACAGATACACACTACACATACGTAGTATATGACATAAATAAATGACAAGGACCTACTGCATAGCATATGGAACTTTATTCAGTTTCTTGTAATGAGCTATAACGCAAAAGAATCTGAAAACATATGTGCATATGTACATATGTAAAAGTGAATCATTTTGCTATACACCTGAAACTAACATTGTAAAAACAACTACACATCAATAAAAAATAAAATTAAATAAAATACATGAATATTAGCTGACTAAAAAAATAAGAACAAAAAACAAATAAAAAGCATTGTATCTCTAGAAAAGAAAAGCCTATGGTCCTTAAAAAGTGTCAAATAAAAGTAAGAGTTTTACAAAGATATCTAAGAGGAACATCTCATTTTACCAATTACCAACAATACACATTTCCCTTTAAGGAATGGTACCCAAATTCAAATTATACCATAAACATAACTTGAAGATTCACAAACTATTCTGTGCATTTCCTAAATATCAAAACCTGAAAGTTCAAAATCATCAAAAGCAAAATAGAGAGAGAATCTCACATATAAAAGATGCTGTAGAACAAATGAACAGGGAGAGAGGAAGGACTGATAAACAGAAACAGATGGTAAACTATCAGTCATTACCCTCAGAGTATATAGAACACTGCTCTGTAAACAAAATTAACAAGCATAGGGAATCTTTTTATGTGAAAATTGATTTAGTGAAGTAAAACGAAATTCCAAGACGCAGTGGCCAAGGATTATAAAACAGAATGACTTGTTAAATATTTCATACTGTATTATTTTGCAAAGATCAGCTAGAGTCAACATTTATACCTATTATGTGGCAGGCTCTGAACGAAACAGAAAGATGAATAACAAAAGGAGCGAGCTCTCCAGACTGACACTTTAGTGGAAAAAGGAGAAACAGAAGCGCATATACACACTGCACGGTAGACAGTGATGACAGAAGAGCAAAGCGCGACGGGAAGACACGGAGATGTGTTTCAGTGGACAAATCTGTAAAAATGCTTATTATTAAACCTAGTTCAGCCAAGATCAGTGTTACTTTTATAATCCAATTTTTTTTTTCTCATGCCTGTTGCTTCTCACACTCAGATTTAAACTGGCATTTTTAGAGCAGTTTATCAAAAGAGAAATACCAAAGTCATAGGAGGTAAATTTGTCCACATCTCCTCTTGTTTGAAATGGCTAATGGAGCTAAAACCACTGATGAAATCTGTGCACTATTCTCTCGTTACCTAGAAGGTGGGATTGGGGTGCAATCCATCTGAAAGAACAAGTTCCAGTCTGTCCCCAAAACTATTTTGTGACTGTCAGTAAAGCTCGACAAAGAAGATATATTCTACCACTTTTAAATTTTACTAATAAAATATTTTCTGTCCACATAAATAAAATTGCATTTGGAAAATAAAATTTCAAGCATGTATTACATAATGTTGGCATGAATTCATTGATGGCAATTTGAAAACTGAGTAAACAAACATCACTGTTAATGAAAGTGACGAACTAAAAGAATCGATAGTAGAGGGCATTCTCAAATAAGATATTTCTGATAAATCATGGGTCAGCCTTCAAAATACATGCACTCCATCATCATTTAAATAGTCTCAAGCTTTAATGAATGGAAGCTACTGCATGAGTTATCTTTAATGTAAAAATTCACTGGCTTATACAGCAAAATTTTTGCACATTTATCAAATACTGCAACTTCAATGGCTGAATAGTTATTACACATCAGGCTGATAAAAAGCTGTTGACTAAAGTATACTAAAACCTCTGTATCAACTCTGTGTATTGGCACTACCAATAAGCATAATTAAATACACCTTAAACTAACAAGATTTTTTTTAACCTGGCATAATGTAAGTTAGTGTTACTGACAATAAAGAGCTCCACTCACAGAGGTTAATTGGCTAGTTCATTAATTTTTACTGAATGAAGTTGGACAGAAATAATTTCACTTTCTGAGAAGTAGCCTATTAAATGAGCTCCACGTATTAAGATAGAAGAAAAGATAAAAGTAAAAATCAAAGAAACGTTTTTCAGTGTCAAGTCAACGGAAAGAACACCAGATATAAAAGACTTTGATTCTAATCTAGATCCTATGACTGAGATAATCCCAAGAATACTGATTCTCATGCAAAATAAAGATTATTACATATAGCTGACCAAACTCACCAAATTATTCAGGGGCTGGAGAGACAACAAAGATAAAACCAGAAAGAAACAGCATGGGGAAATAAAACTCTCTCACATACTGTTGATAAAATTATAACTCTAAGAGAGAGTTTGGCAGATTTATAAAAATTTAAATGTGCATGCCCTTTGATCCAGAAATTCTGTGCAGCCTCTATGAAACTTGCCCAAAATCACAAGGGCATATGTGCAAGGACAGTCATTGTGATATTATCTGTAATGTTGAAAAAACTGACAGTAAACTTAAATGGTCACCAGTTGAATATTGGTAAAAATACATCATGTCCCTTTTACGGAATCATTTTTTTGAAAGTAGTTCTTATATGTATTTATATGTTATCTCTTGTAAGGTATACTGCTATTTAAAACTCTAAATAACCACTGGTCAAGGTCAAATCTTCCTTCCAACAGCAACTCAGAGAATGTACAGAAGTATGCCAAATTCAATACAACTAAGAATCAGACCAGGGTTACTACGTCAGGAACGTTTATCCAAGTAATCAGCAGTCTGCAATGATTAAGATACACCTGCACTGGAGAAGGGACGCGAGACCCACGCCCCTAAGGAAGCTCCTAACAGCTGGCAAGGGATAAAAGCTGAAGTTTCCCAAGAATCAATGTCTTCCACAGCCACGAGCATAGCAAACGAGGAGCCACCGCAACGTTTGAAAGTCACTCCCGGAAAGTGACTAGACCTTCATTATTTTTGTTATAAACCAATATTTATCACCTGTCTTGAACCTTTCCTTAAATTTAAGTGAAACTGGTGTTGGGTAAAGCCTATCACATCTTCTTAGTTTGTTAATCCAAGACCACTTCTGAATTGCACACACCAAACTCTTTAAGCTTGACTATTTATATGGAATAGACATGAGGTCATGGAAAAAACACTCTTCACTAAACACAGTGCTGCAAAAAATATTTTTACAAGAGATATGAACTCTATTGTAATTGCAATTTTAATATCAATAGCAGTAACTAAAAAAAGGAAAAGAGACATAAAGTAACAAGAATAATTCCAGATCCAACCTCATTATTAGGAGAAGGAATCAAATATTTTGACAGGTTTGATCAGGAC